AGGCTGCTCTTAAAACTCCTGGAGTCACACGGCTTCAAAGATCAGCATTGAATCGAATCGGATCGAATCGCAACAGCAATAATCGAAATCAAATTGAATCGTGAGGTTCCTAACAATACCCAGTCCTATTGGATATAGGTCTATAATTGACCAGGTCATCTGGCTCAAGAAATTGTTTCTAAATTAAAGATTCTTCTTTTTAGGGGGAGTAGCGTCATTTTGTCATGGATGTTCAAATCCCTCTATATATATATATATATATATATTGTTGTAATGTGTATTCTAATGAGTGCTCTTCAATGACGTCATTAATGGGTGTGACTATAAATTGTGGAGCATGTGCAATGTTGTTGTATGAAGTAAAATAAACTGGTGGCGTGTGACGTGTCGCCCAAGGAAACAACTTGGTGTAGTCGTGTGCTGTTATTCTCCGACTGTTCCCTGCCCTTATGATGACAGCGCCAACATATATATATATATATATATATATATATATATATATATATATATATATATATATAAAATGGTCGATTGATAGTTTGGTTTTCATGCTCTTCCATTTTATTTTTTTTTGTCAGTTGATTAACAACCTTCAGTTGCAATAAAGCCACCGTTTGGTAATTTCAATTCAGTTCATATAGCGCCACTTAACAACATGTTATCTCAAGGCACTTTACAGAGACACGTATTAGTGTCTCTAATTATGAGTTTTAGCAGCTGTTTTTAGATTTGTAATGTTTGTGAATTTGTCATTTGTCGTTTTGCAAAGTTTAAACTTTTATTGGAGACTTAAAATTGTACTCTCATGGATAAAACATCTGATGTCAGGTTTCTAGGATTTGACTACAAGCAACCAAAACACAAAAAAAATATTTGCATTATTAACTTACATTTATCGACAGTTTTCATAACTCTACTCATGACCTTTAAAGCATTAAGGAAGCAGAGAGAGTTTCTGCTAACATGGAAAGTAACTGGAAAGTAACTGGGTAAGATGTTTAAGAACAACTTGATCACCAAGTTTCGAAACGGCAAGAAGTGGAAACCTTTTCATTCAACAAGCAATGAATGGATTCTGATCAGGAATGAATCGCCTGCTCTAAAATGTCTCCCAAACAGATGGATGAGCAAAATGTCTTCTGCTCCAGTGGTTCGGTGGTCAGACATTGTTTAAGCTGTTTGACCACAGTGACACCAGTGCAGACAGCACCAGCTGTCTGCATGGTGGCAGCAGTATCATGCTGTGGGGTTGTTTTAGCGCCACCGTTAAATGGAGCATTAAAGGAAAAAATTGAAAATTCTTCAGCTGACATTAACAACTCAGCCTGAAATTTAAAATATATATTTTTGTTTTTATTTTACTAAAAACAGAACCAAAAGTTCTTCAAAAAACAGAATGTTGTCTCTTTAGCTACAGCATTGTTGATCAGTTCTGTTCGTAGGGTTTGGATGTGTCCCTTAATATTTAGTTTTGATTTATATTGTTCAATCTGCACTATAAAATGAGCTGCCTGTCACAGCGGCTGCAGTATTTATCCTCTGTGATGCTTTTCCCCTGTTCTGTCAGGCTCCAGGGCAGCATGTGCAGCACAAACAGCAAGCTGACAGCACCACACCACATGAGCAAG